GATGCTTTCTACAGAAATAAAACATAAAAAGATTATGCTTTACCCAACTCACTGCAACAGCGACCCCTTGTGGTAAATATACTTGTTTCACAAAAGTCAATAAGTCTCACACCCTGTAACTTATGGAATATTACATTTCTTTTTTAAATGCAGTAGCAGGTAGTTTGGCTTCATCATGTGAAGTATGGAGTCTATTTTATGGGATGGAGCAAACACTGAATGAGGAGTTAGACCAAATGGATTGTAAGCAATTCTCTGGACTTGTTAGTTGCGCAATTTTATGAAAATCACTTACCTTCTGAAAGGCACAGTTTCTTCACCTCTGCAAGAGAGATTATGTGATCAATTAAATGAACATAAGAAAGTTCTTTCTAAAACATGGTGTTCTATACAGATACAAACTATGTTTAACAGGAAATACCACAAGATCAGAATGATCTTACCTTTTCAGAACAACAAATGGAATTTGATGTTTCTGTATCACCATCTATTATCTCACTTAGGAGAATATTATTAGATATCAAGCAACTAAGTGGAAGAAACGCCAAAAGTTTTTCTATGTCTCAGCCTTTGGAATGAAAGCAATCATTAACAGTTGTGGTGTTACAGGTTGAATTGTGTCTCTCCTCCTGCCTCCCAAAAAGATATGTTGGAGTCCTAATCCCTGGTACCTCAGAATTTAGAGACAAGTCTTTACAGAAGTAATCAAGTTAAAGTGAGGTTACTTGGGGAACTTTAATCCAATATAACTGGTGTTCTTATAAAAAAGGGAAATTTGGACACAGAGACCGACACGAATAAAGAGAAAACAATGTGAAGAGACACGGTTGCTTCCATCAAGGGACGAATGGATAAAGAAGATGTGGTGTATATACACAATGGAATACTACTCAGCCATAAGAAACGATGAAATCCAGCCATTTGTGACAACATGGATGGACATTGAGGGTATTAGGCAAAGTGAAATAAGTCAGAGGGAGAAGGTCAAATACCGTATGATTTCCTTCATTAAGTAGCAGATAATAACAACAATAAACAAACACATAGGGACAGAGATTGGATTGGTGGTTACCAGAAGGGAAGGGGGTAAGGAGGAGGGTGAAAGGGACAATTCGGTACATGTGTGTGGTGATGGGTTGTAATTAGTATTTTGGTGGTGAACATGATGTAATCTATGCAGAAATAGAAGTATAATGATGTACACCTGAAATTTTTACAATGTTATAAACCACTGTTACTGCAATAAACAAAAAATTAAAATAAATAAATAAATAAATAAATAAATAAATAAATAAATAAAAGAGACACGGGAACAAAAAGGCCATCTATGAGCCAAGGAGAGAGGCCTGGAGGAGATCTTTCCTTCACAGATCCCGGAAGGATGCAGTCCTGCTGATACCTTGATCTTGGACTTCAAGCCTCCAGAACTGTTAGACAATACATTTCTGTTGTTTAAGCCACCCAGTTAGTAGTCTTTTGTTATGGTAGCCCCAGCAAACTAATATGTGGTGCCAATAATTATATATTATATATCGTATATCATATGTTATATATTATATATCATATATCATATATCATATATTATATATTAATGTGCTCCTTTGAAAAACATTTTCCATGGTCACAAGATCTGGGTAAACACAGGAGTGTATCAGATATATTAACGTTCTTTGTTGTGCGTGTGTATATATATAAAACAAAAAATTAAAACCATTTTTAAATTTTAGAAAGTTCCTGAGGTTAAGAAAGAAAAACATGCCCTATAGCAAGAGCCACCAACCAAAGGACTATTTTAAATTTTTTAAAGTATTTTTTTTCTGGTTATTCAAATAATGAATTCCAAATACAGAATTTGGAAAACATGAAAAAGTACAAAAAATAGAAATCATGTATAATACCATATCCCAGAAACATAATTGAATAATATTTAGATATATTTATTTTCAGTGCTTTATCTATGCATAAATATTTTTAACTAAACTGGATTGCATGCATGTGCACACGCATACACACACACACATTTGGGTACACTGCGTTTTGTTTAACTTAACGTTATTTCCCAAACATTTTTGCTTATCAATAAATATACACAAAATTTCAATTCTAATGGCCTTAAAATATTCCACGATAGAGATGTACTATAATTTATCTACCAATTTTCCTAATGTTAAATATTTGAATTTTAGAAAAAATACTATGATAAACACCTTTGTACATAATCCTTTGTCTAAACTTTCAATTATTTCTTTAGAATAGCTTCTACAAAGGGGATTTCCTGGATTAAAGATTAAGAACATTTTAAGACTCTTGATAAGTATCAATTTACGCAATCAAACAACGTTTGTGGGGTCCCTAGTTGGGTCAGGCACTGAGCTAGACACTGGACATTCAAAGATGAGAATGACCCAGCAGTCTAGTGACAAGGAAGAGATTTTCAAAAGCAGCAATAGTCCCTGATAACTGCTGTGATAGGGAAAGTACTGAGTACTATAGGAACATACAGGAAGTGAAACTGCTTTGGTTCTGGGATTCCAGGAAGATTTCCCAGCAGGGGTGACACCTGAACTAAAACCTAAGGGAAGAGGAGGAACGAACCTGGTAAAGACTGGGCCAAGTAGGAAGAAGTAGGAAGTAGAAAGGCAGGAGGAACAGCATCTGGACAGACCTGGATCAAGAGGGTGGATGGCACTTGGGTAGATGGTGGTGCCATTGTTTGATACAGAAAACAAAAAAAGAAAGAGTGAGTTTGTCTTGTCTTGCTTTGTTTCCTTTTGTTTTGAGAAGGGGAAAAGATGAAGAGCTAAGCTCTGCACCATTTAATTTGAGGTGCTTCTTGATTCTTCCAAAGAACCCAGTGAAACCCACTATGCAATCAGTGAAAGATCAGAGGAGGGAAGACTGGATGGAGCATAAGATGGTTCTGTGCAGAGTGGTTCCTCCTGAGGGGAGGTGTCCCCCTATCACCCAGGCAGGGGCAAGTTCTCACGTGGATGGAGCAGGTGGCTGTCTACACCCAATGTTCTCAGGAAAACCACGACAACTTTTCTGCCCCCAAAAATGTTTCTCTATCCCTACCTTCTCTAATGTGCTTAAAATTACATGTTAGGGACAAAAACTGTGATTCCACAATTAATGTTAAAAAATCTTGTTTTTTAAATGCAATTTAACCACAATGTAAATAGATAATATCAGCTTCTTTCCTAAAAATAGGTTTTCAGGTATAGAAGATGGTATTAGAATACAGGTCCAACTGATGTGACAAAGGCCAAAGTAAAGTAGCTTAAACAAGATGGCAGTTTATTTCCTTCTCATGTTCAGTCTAAATATAAGCGGCTCTGAGCAGATACGGGAGCTCTTAGTGTTGATGACTATCTTAGTCCACTCAGGCTGCTATAACAAAAATACCATAGACTGGGTGGCTTAAACAACAAACGTTTATTTCTCACAGTTCTGGAGGTTGGAAAGTCCAAGATTAAGGTCCCAGCAGATTCAGTGTCTGGTGAGAGTCCACTTGCTGGTTCATAGACCACCATCTTCCTGCTGTGTCCTCACGTGGAGGAAGGGGTAAGGGAGCTCTCTGGAGGCCCTTTTATGAGGACACTAATCCCATTCATGAGGGCTCCACTCTCATGACCTAATCATCTCCCAAAGGCCCCTCCTCCAAATGCCATCACACTAGGGATTAGGTTTCAGCATATGAATTTTAGGGGGACATAAACATTCAGTCTATAGCAGTGACCTAAGTATCTGGTTGCTGTGCTGTCCTCAATGCCCACTTTTATTTAGAATCTAAGACATAGTTTTGCATATACAATCCTCACAACAATCCTTCCAATTATCTCACTTTTATGAATTAGGAGATGAGGCACTTAGAGTAAAAATGACTTATCCAATGGCACATAGTTACCTAGAAGAAGAGTCAGGAAACACAACCGACACTTTTTAATTCTTAATTTAGTCCTCTTTCCACAGAGTTCTTGAAGTGAGATAAAAGGGGGGATAAAAAAATTATTATTATGAAGAGAAACTCTACTGAATATCTAGTTTTGCCTAAGTGTACCTAGTTATAAGGAATATTTTCCAATAAGCATAGGCAAAAAAGAACACCAGGTTAACTTTCCTCCTCAAAGTAAAACAAGCCAATCGCCAGGACCAAATGACAAAACAGAACTTCTAAAGAAACACAGTTGCTCCCTCCCAGATACTTCAAAAAATGGGGAAAATATAGATTCCCATTTCCCTACACGACTCCCATCACACCACACCACATGACGAAAACAAACTTTTGAGGGATAGTCTGACCTTAGAAAGTCTTCCTGAGAAGGAAATATTCTTGAGAGTTGTGTGTCTTTGACTAACAAATAGTTCTATTTGGGTAGGGAAATGGTATCAACACTCTTGAAGTCTGAGCAATGACTGGATGGGAAGCTTTTGTTCACCATTGTGCTCCCAAGAACAATGCCTGGCACATAGTGGGAATGCTACAAATAATTGTTATATGAACAGGTAAATGAATGAATGAGCTGAAGGCAGAAACAGACTAAGGAACAAGGTTGACGGTGTAGAATGCTAAGAATATCCTCTTGGGCATCAACTCCCTTTGGAGTGAAACAGTGATGGAGATTGAGGGCTTACCTAGAGGTATGTCAACTATATATTTAAATCTAAAATAGGGCCCACGGTTTTATGAACACAAGTATATTTGGGGCAATAATGGTATACAACACTGCCACTGTTAGACCTGAGCAAGCAATGTCCCTGGTATAGTTGTGCACTTTAAAAGGCTCCACCCTGGCCTTCCTCCAGCTGTTTTCACCCTACTCCCTATAAGAAGTCGACAGGGCCAGGGGGCATGGCCCTCTGGAGTCTAAATACCTTTTCTAGATTGTGCTCTGGGTGCCCAAGATCCCTAAATTCCCTGCACACATGTCCCCAGATCCACTTTTACAATCAGCATGGGCCTCTTCCATGGCCCATTTTCCCACCAGTGCACATAAACCCTAGGCCCAAGGAGTGGCCAAGAGATGGATGTTTGCAGGGATCTTAGGCATGTAGACTAAGGTGTCCACATCTTTGTATGTAAAGCCCCTCTGGTAAGTGATGGACTTAGGGACAGGAAAAGAAGGGGAGTAGACCACAAGGGGTAAGCCAGAGGCTGGAAGGTGACTCTCCCCGAAGCAGCACATTCCACCACAGAACTACAAGAATAGAGAGTTCAAAAATAGATCTGGGTATATATGGAAATTTAGTATATTGTAAATGTAGCATTCCAAATCTATGGGGCAAGTGAATTTTTCAATAAGTGGTATTCCTACTATTATTGGCTACCCATTTGGAAAAAATAAATAAATCTAAGTCTTTACTTAAAAATTAATGTTTGGGGACATACTCCTTTGAATCGTGTGGTTCACAATGAAACTGTAACTTCTTGCAGAATCATCTCCCCAGCCACCATTAATTGGCCAAATGCTCAAGTCAAACTGGGCTAATCCTAGCAGCCCACACCCACGGCCACCACGGGTTAGTCCAGGGAAGAGTACCTGACCCACATTGAGTCAACCAGATCCCTTCCCAGGATATTCTAAATTGGAGGGAGAGACAGAGAAGAAGGGAGGGAGGGAGAGAGAGAAACATGGAGAGGAAAGGAAGGGAGGAGTGAGGCAGGAGGAGGAGGAGCATCAAATCCAGTCCCTCTCAAGGGTGTGCATAAGAAGATATGGGCATAGGAGCTGTAAGCAGCCACACTTAGAACTCCATGTTTAAATCCTCCCTTGATTCAAATTCTCCTGCCATTATGCATTCTCTCTCTCTCCCCTCCCTTCACAGCAAAGCTACCTCTGCTTCCTCATCTCACATGGCATTGTGTGCAATCCTGTATCTTAACACTTACCAAACTGTTTTAAGTTGTTAGTTTACTGTTCCTTCCTACAAGCACACTTTTTTTGGCAGGGACCATTTCAGGAGTTAGGGCTACACCGTCACTGAAACCACAGTCTCATCCCTCTGCAAGCCTATAGGCTGGCAGGGAAGTGGAGTGGGTAGACCATGCACCCGAGAGGAAGACTGCCTGGGGTTTCAATTTGCCATTTAACAGTTTTGTGACTTGAGTGAGATAATTAATTCTCTGTGCTTTAGTTCCTTCATCTGTAAAGTGAAGCTCATGACAATAGCTGTGAGAATTTAACGGGTTCATGAATGTTTGGGATCACGCTTGGCACATAGAGATCAAGGATTGCTTCTTTCACCTTTTTATGATCAGTGCTTAACACAGTACCTGGCACATAAAGATTCAATAAATATTTATCAAATGAACAAATTCTGTGACTTTAAGTTATAATTTAGTTATAATAAGTGATGTGACCTGGAACCACACCACCCTCTTGTGGAGGGACATAAAGGCTTCAGGGAAATGGTTTTTACTGTTCTCAGGGGTTTGTGTTCAGCTCTCCCTGCAGCCCCCACCACTGTGTCACTCCCAGCACAGAAGTACACAGCAGAGTCACTACTGAGGACAGATGGTTTCTTCAGGTGGAAAGAGGTTTGGCTCTTATTAAATTCAGCCACAAAACCGTTGCTGCCTTTAACCAGGTTGTCCCCTGTAAAGTATTTCAGAAGGAACTGGAGGCCTTGGTTGGGATATTGGACGTACCAAAAGAGATTAGGGCTCCCAGGAATTGAATAGGTGCACTTCACAGTCATTGGATCCCCTTCGGTCACAGTGACCTGATCTTCTGGCTGAGTCACCGACTGAGCTCTCAGCCCACCTGTAAATTAATCCACCTGCATCAGTGATGCTGCTAAAAAGAACGTAAGTGAATAATACACCTGGAAAATGGGAAGGGAATATTACTCACTCAGTGTGAAGAGAATTGCAAGCGTTGAGATGCGTGCAGAGGCCATGGCTTAAGCTGAGCTGTCTGGGGGCTCCTTTCCAGCCCACCTCAGCTGGAGATATGGCCCCAGCCCAGAGACTGGGTTCTCAAAGAGGGCACTCCCGTGTCAGCAGGTATTTTTAGAAATGGCCCTTCTTCAGGGAACCTGGTGCTTCCTGGCACCTGTGTCTCCTCTCTGTTGAGCAAGCTCTTGGTTCAGGCTCCTCAGAGCTCTGTGGGGAGCAAGACTGCTGCTCCTCCTGCACCCGGGACAAGCCTCACACTGCAACACCCCCTAGAGCCCACACACAGAACTGCGTGACTTTACTGTCAAGTAGCCAGTGCTTCCAGGTCCTGTCACAGGACCAGACCTCTGCATGTTTACATTTTCCATGAGGGACAGAGGGGAAATTTGATGCCAAGGAGAAGAAACAGGAGTTTGTGAATCAAAGTAGAAAAAATACATGTTGAGTGGATTAAGCTTTAACTGATTTGTGCTCTTTTAAGATAGCACAGAGACAGAAAGTAGGGAAATAGAATTTTTTATAGGATGTGAAAATAAATAGAAAAAAGAAGGGAAAGCATAATTTTGGTGAAGAAAGAAAGAAAAATAAAAATGAGAGATGATAAAAGGCAAAATAAGAGAAAAGAGTAAGATAAGAAAAGAGAAATGATAAGAAAGAATGAGAACCTTGTTCTTCTCTTTAGAAATAATTTATAGCTGGCTTCTGTGTAAACCTCTTTGACCAAAAGATAACTCAGGTTTCTCTCTAGGTTGGGCCTGTTGGGACCCTTCCCCACAATGATCTTCAGTTAAAGATTCATATAAAAATAACTTGAACCTTCTCTTGAAACATTTTGAGAGAGAGAAAGGAAGGGATGGTATTATAAACATCTCCTGGCAAATTTGCCCTATTAAACAGTAGATTATAAAGCAAAAAAAAAAAAAAATCCTCTGTAAAGGAGTTGCAGAAATAGATATTTGCCACATAGATAAGTTACTTAAAAAAGAATTCAGAGCCAGCCCTGATTGTCTAGCGGTTCAAGTTTAGTGTGTTCTGCTTCAGCAACCCAGGTTTGGTCCCCGGGCATGGAACTACTCATCTGTCAGTAGCCATGCTGTGGTGGCATCTCACATAGAAGAGCCAGAACAACTTACAGCTATACACGACTATGTACTGTGGTTTTGTGGGGGAAAGAAATAAAAAGTAGGAAGATTGACAACAGATGTTAGCTTAAGGCAAATCTTCTCCTCCAAAAAAAAAGAAAGAATTCAAACGAAGTCCACATTAAGTAAAAAATTGATTGTTAACGAATTTTGAGGTAGTATTATGGTGATAAAGGGCTCATTTTTAGAGGAGGACAGGTATAAGTTTTGTGCTAGAAAATGCCACAATAGTGGCAGAGTGATTCTTCAATAGATTTGAATTTAAAGGAAAGAAGCAAGTATCAATGTAAAGACATTGTTCCTCTGATTTGCCTTATTTTTCCTTTAAATAACGTCCAAATTAACCATATATTTTGGAAGGAAGATAGAAAATCTCCTCACTTTGAATCAGAAAAAAAGTAGAACATAGCTGCTTCTGCAAGTTTTGCTAAGGATCTCATATTATAATAGTTGAAACTTTGACCCTATGATAATGTCTTTCTTTGGAATACATAAATTATCTTTAAGTACTAAACTTCAAGCCCCAAAACACCTGTGATGAGTGGGAAAATATAATAAATTTCTTCTCTATCTGCCTAGAGCCCAAGACGAGTGTTAATGTTGTACTTTGAGGGTTCTGGCCATCATCTGAAGAGGATGATTGGAAAAAAGCTGAATGAAAGGAATATTTTAAATTTGTGGGCAGAATTAAGGGAAGTCTACAAGAGAAGGTGAAGCACCTGGGGGCTAGCAATAGCCAGTGGTAAAGAAGATTTACCACTCCTAGGCCAGAAAGGGTGGAGGAGGAATTAATTATCCTAGCCTGGAGAGACCTGTAACTGAACAACATTACCACCCAACAGGACCTGTGGACTTCAGTACAGGAAAGAAAGGATCCTGGAATGCAAATATCTTGACCGCTTTCTTCTGTCAATGCCTCTCACTGGTCCAAATCCAACCAGAAGCAAAAGGATAAGGACGACCAGTGGATGCAGTGGATAGAAGTCAGCCTGCTGGGCATAGAGCAGGATGGAGAGGAGACCTGAAGGGGAAACTGAACATCCAGGCCCCTGACACTGGGGTTTACTGCTGCCTTGCCATTCAGGAAAAGATGCATGTCTGTCCTAAATGTACATATGGGTGTATCTATACTGTCTTTTGATCAATGTAGAAAGACAAATAAGTCAAATTAAAACAATAGTCCAGTATAGACTTTAGTGCCTTAATTAAATTTTCCAGGTAATTTCTCATTCTCTACTTCTTCTATCCTCTACAGATGCAGCACACACAGCACACAACATTATGCCTAGATAGTGCAAGTGGCTCAGGTATTGTTTGCCTTCAACCATTTAATAATTAATCTCAAGAGCTACAAATGAAGTAAAACTTTAGGAGAGATATTTTTAGTCTTACACTAGAAGTGACTGATTGTTTACTAGTTCCCCTCAAAGGGTGCTCATGGGAGGAACTGACCGTATTAATTGAGGTTGCTTAGTTATAAAAAGAGGAGAGTCTTCCTCTGAATTTATGCTATGGTTAGAACTTATAGGCATCAATTTTCAATGACAGGACTGATGCAGAAGCCTTACTCTTCCCCTTGAAAAGTAGAAAAATTCAGTCTCCGTGTTTGCTTCCAGTTAAAGAATTTGTCTTTAACTCGCGAGGAGGTAGGGAAGAATTCAAGGACCTCCGCAGAATATCCAGCATACTCAAAGGATTCCTAGAGCATCAACTGAGCTTTCAGAGTTTAACAACATAGGTTCAATATCTATTCGGCTTATGTGCTTTGATTTATGGGATTAATGAAGAAATTATTCATCAAATGTCTACTGTGAGCATAATGTTAAGCCCTTTTCATTCCTTGTCACATTTACTCTTCCTAATATTCCACATTTTAGAGATGAGAACACCAGAGTTTAGGAAAATTAAATAATTTGCTCAAGTCAAACCTAAAGAAATAGAATGAAGATTGTTAAGTCTTCTGACTTCAAAGGCATTCTTTTCACTATACCACACTGAGAATATCAATTTTAATCATTTACTTTTTAAAAACCTTATAATACTGGAAAGTAGCCTGATTATCAACAAAAGTATACAATCATAGACTTTGAATGGGCCAAGTAGAGCTTTAGAGGTCATCTTGTAACTGAATGTATCCCAAATGCTGACCCCACATGTATGTGCCACTTAACCAAAACAGCCCCTAGATAATTGCTTCTAAACCACCTCTTACATGAAATGATCACCCCCCTTCTCTAGCACCTCTTTTCTCATTTGTATGCCATTACAGGTTTATGTGCAGATAATCTGATGAAAACTTGACGGTTTTTTTTCCTACCAACTTATTATATGTGCCTAGTATGTACCACATTCTATTCTGTCTAACTCTCCAATTTCTATTGAAAGAACCATCAAGTTCACAGAAAATTGATGTGAACTGTTTTGACAACCCGTTGTCGCCTGAGTGCAGTGCTGTCTATTTGGAGATCAGTCAAATGTGAGATGTGTCAGCCACCAGGAAATGTTCCCAAAATGCTGCAGGTGGAGGTCCCTGCTCTCCTCAAGGGTCCCTGCCCTCCAAGAGGTGCCTCTCTTCACTCCTTCTTCTGTGACTACCATTGAGACATGGACATCAAAACACAACAACACTGAAGATGTGGAAGATGTGGCCACAATGATGTCAAGGAGCTTCAATGTGAGACTCCAAGTACTTCTGTAAGACTGCCCCCTGCCCTTCCCAATAAACTGTTTATAAACATCAGAACTCTGTAAATGTCCCTGATTTCCCAGGAGACATCACGACTCATAAAAAATAATGACAAAGCTCTTTGCAAACATCAGACTCTGAAATGTAGATTATATTCATTTTAGAAAAATCAGCACAAAATAAAGTTTTTGGAGCAAGGAAGAAAATCATGACTTTTTATATAAAACCTTGACAAAGAACACAGTACAACTAAGAAAATCATACTTTTTCCACATAAATTAGGGAACTCTCAAAAGAAAAAGGGGAAATCCATGATTTATCATTCTGCTCTCCTACCTCCAATAAAGGAGACCATAAATCAATGCCCTTCATATCTCCATGGACTGAAGAGATTTTCCAGTTTCTCTGAGCCAAATACCTTCCTTCACCCAGACCCAGTTTCCTCATTGTTACCTTGCTGTTTAATAATAGGCCAAGCTGCATCTGAGGTGTGTTGTTAATTTCTAGGAATTATATTTTTTGGATAAATATAAGCCAACTGGAAACTGTTTGAAGTGAACAATAGACGGGGAAATCAAAATTGTGGCACACATATAATAAGTGGTTAGGAAAACATAAATCTGTAGTATGGAAATGTCAGATCTGATCCAAAATGTGTAAAGGAGATGTGTGAACTACTCTAGGTTCCCAAAGGAACCTAGAGCCGCTGGAACACAGGTGCTGCCTCAATATAAAGATAATTGCTTTTTAATTCACAGCTGCCTGAAGTTTGAGTAGACAATATGGGGACAGCAAGGACTCTATTTCAAGAAGCTGTCAAGAAAACACTAGTAATTCCCTTGGTGACTCTGTTACGGGATCTAAGCATCTCGTGGACAGAGGGTCTAGGTTGCCTTTTAGAATTTCACTTCCTGAGATTCAAGCTTTATTTTTCAGTTTAGTGTCTTTCTGTTTTATAGAGAAGCTCTGAGGTTGATTTTTTGTTTGTTTGTTTTATTTTCTCTTACTGAGACAAGAGCAAAGGGAAAAATCATGTGACAGCAAATCACAGGTGTTCAATAAATGTTTTTCAAATGATTAAAACTTTAAATAAGTACACAGAGCTAGCAGAAATCCATGTAATAAGAAGCCATTTTACACGCTGGACGTCAATCAATGGAGTAAGAGCTCTGTTTCCCTTCATTCATCACTAATGACCTGCCTTCACGGACATCCCTTCTTCTAGGGATTCATCTAGGAACTGCCTTGGCATCCTGATAATTCCAGGAGAAAACCTTGCAAGTTGGTGATCCTCACAAATTACTATTGAGTATCTGTTATATGCAAGATACCATTTTCATTGAGAAATTAGCAGAAGAACAAGATATAGTCCTTGGCCTTGAGAACTTACCACCCAT